GTGTGTGTGTGTGTGTGTGTGTGTGTGTGTGTGTGTGTGTGTGTGTGTGTGTGCTGTGTTTGTCATAAATTAGGCAAAATCACAGATTTCTTCTTCAATTTATTTGAGTTAAGTTTGGTTGAATTTAAGAGTTCAGCGCTCAAAAGTTTTATTTCCACTCCTACACCAAATATGTAGCCTCTGGCATTAGACTTCACACAATAAAAAAAGAAATGTTTTTACCAAATTTATTTTTCTTGTCGAGTTAAAATATGTAAAGGCTCCTCTGGTTTCCTCAGATGAAGCCTATAAAAATAAATGTTTTCTGACTACAAAACAGATTTTGTCTGCATGAATTAAAGTAATAGGGATCACTTCAGTCCTTTGTTATTTATTCTGAAATTCTTTTTTTATTTTTACTGAACTTTTCCAGAAAGTAGTTCACATAATCATCATGGGAAATCTGAGTGAGGGCTAAAAGAAGTTAGACTCAAAATAATTCATAACTGTCAAAATAATATCTGTTAAAAACATAATTTTCCTCTTATAGAGACACAAATTGGTAACAGTCTGTTTTGTATGTTTTTTTCTTTTATTTGTCAAAATACAAATCTATTGTAGCCGTTAAAAACTGCTTTGTTGTTTTCAATGTCTTATCAGCAGAAACTGAATATTAATGACCCAGGTGAAGTTGATGCAAAGTTCAAAATTAGAGTAGATGGAAAATCTGATGTAGGTTTATCAGATCAAAAAGTACTTTAAACTCTCTTTATTATATTTTCTTTTAAACTGTAAACAGATACATTGCAAAAAGCTGCTGAACTGAACAACTGAACAAATGGTTCAAAAGGAGAGAAATCTCAGTGTTAAAGCTCTAATATCCTGGTCTTTGGTTGGTCATACAGTTTTAATGACAGCTCCAGTCAAATGAAACACACCTATTCATTCAAATGAAAAGGGCAGGTGTCCAGTTGACTGGGACTGAGCAAAATCAGCAGAACAAGCTGCAGTTCACTAAAACAACTAATGGAAATCTGTGATGTTTTACTGTGACATGTTAAAGCTCCAGGAATTCACTAAATGCTCCAATTTGCTTCTATAGCTCTTTGAAAAAAACGTGATGCAAAAATGAGCTCTGCATGTAAACAAACTGTCAGATTCTGTATTTGATGGTCCATTATTTTTCAACATAGTAAGGACATGCTGCAAAAATTGTCCAACCAAGTTATACAAACATACTGTATATACAACCAAAAAGCCTTTTTGACAAAGATCTATAAAGTACTTAAAACAAATAACTAAGTAAAAGTAAAAATACTTCAACAGAAAATGACTTTGGTAAAAATTAACTTCACTGATAACAAAAGTACTTAGGTAAATGTAAAAACTGCTCCAAATAATTGAGAAAGTAAAAGTAAAAGTACTTTTACGCACACTAAGCTATGAAGGGTTGAATTTACTTTACTAAACTGGTTCTATTAAACTGATTATGTTGAGCAATTTACACATTTTATTTTAAAGAATATGTGTAAATTGCTTTACTTTTGCTCAAATCAGTTTAGTGGAACCAGCAGAAGTAGATTTTTATTGGTAAATTTAACACTTCGTTTTTTAAAGTACACGAACAACTGCTTACATGATGGATTCTGGTCATATTTAAATTGTGCTAACTTTGAAAGTAAAGAATTAAAAGAATCTTTTTAAGTTCTGAATGTAACAAAATAAAAGTAAAACTTGTCATTTTAAAAAACACTTAGTAAAATCACAAATACTCAAAGAAATTACTTAAGTACTGTAACAATATACATGTACTTAGTGATACACCTCTGTTTTTTTATCTGGTTTTGAGACTGATATATAAGCAAGAGCTGAATGTGTTCAATTATTAATCTCTGGAATTTTTTTTTCTTATTTAAAGAAGTCTTACCGAGTGTTAAATTTATTTCCCTTTATTTGAGACGGTCCAATAAAAACATCAAATATGGATTAAAGAAATTGAGCATTTTTTTTTTGCTGCTTTGTAAATGTATGAAATAGGTGCTACGCTTAAAAAACTGCTTAGTGTGAAATTTGTTGGATTTAAAATGCAACATATGCTGCTGAAATTATTTCAGCAGAACTAAAAGGACAAAAATGTAGATTACCAAGTACCACGTACCAAGTTTTTAATGTTTTGGTTAGCACATGCTATATTATGCATTAGCTCAGAGTACGTGTTGAGGTTTATGCTTAGCTTTAGCTCAGTATCTGTAAACATGGGTTTCCCATGATTGATGAGCTAATCTTGAATGAAGCTGTCCCCAAGCATTAATTAGRGCAGCCYGTGACTACTTTCTGAARGTTTCATTAAKATCTGGTGGTTCAGGAGATATTTTTGCTGAAAAACAAATAAACACACAAAGGCACCGCTACAAGTGATAAATATCACAAGAGAAAGTGACCAAGAGTCTTATCTCACTTCTGGTTTCTTTGTTTGTTCAGTGCCATAAAGAGCATGTGAAATATTKAATCATGATGTGTAAACATTCAGTAATCTTTTAGTCACAAATGTCCATCTGAAAAGATATCTACGATTGTGAAACGTTGCTTTTCCTTTTACCAGAAGTTCAACAGGAAACATTAAGGAAGACATTTGACTTTTGTGCCTATAGGTCACCTGAAGGAGGATGTGCAGGAGATGAACAGCCACAACAAGCCCGACTGCTCCAACGCCATCAATTCCGTCGGGGATGGCAGCGCRGTGGAGTACTACTTTGCATCTGARGCAAGGTGAGGAAAGCAGTTCTCTGTTTGTCCTGTGCTGAATGCAAAACAAACAGAACATTTCATTTGTCCCTCCGCTCTTCCYTCAGACAAGTATCTTCCAAGTGTAATTTAAATATAGTCACAAAACAGACAAGCTGTTCAAGCCTGACTCGTCACATTTGTTCGCGTGTTCCTGTTCCCCTGTAGCGCCATCATCGAGCACACCAACAAGGTGCTGTACCTGGAGGACGATGACGTCGCCATCGTGAAGGACGGGCACCTGTCCATCCACAGGATGAACKGGCAGGCCGGGGAAGACCCAGTGCGAGCAGTTCAGACCCTGCAGATGGAGCTGCAGCAGATCATGAAAGGTCAGATCATRGTTATGATCTAATCATCTCGTGACATTTGTTTGGATTTGTTTGTGACGAAAAATATCACAGAATAACTGATAAAGAGTCAGAAAGAAATCTCTGCTCTGTTAAAATGAGATGAATYCATGGTGATGTGTGGTCGCCCTCTGCTGGATGATTATTTTTCTGCTGCTAAACTTTCAAACAGTGTGCGCGCAACTATTTTTTTTCTTGCTGTTGAAACTTTTATGAGGAAAACATTAAGTATGTCACCACAAATTGTACTGAAATGCTTCTCTTTCTTCTTCAGGAAACTTTGAAGCCTTCATGCAGAAGGAGATCTTTGAGCAGCCAGAATCTGTCGTGAACACCATGAGAGGCCGGATTTGTTTCGACACAAACACAGGTGATCCGTGATCTGAATTAGCTGTAATACTGGATATTTCCGGATTGCTATTGCTGAATGTTGGTGGGGGGGCTAAAGAAACAGAATGCTGAAAGCTAAAAGACGCAAAACGTTAACCAAAAGTAYTGAAAGGCTAGRTAAATACCAAAAATAACATCCATCCATCCATCATCCGTCAGCCTAAGCTGAGAGACCCAGACCTCCCTCTCCCCAGCCYCTTCTTCCAGCTCATCTGGGGGAATCCCAAGGCGTTCCCAGGCCAGCTGAGAAACATAGTCCCTCCAGCGTGTCCTGGGTCTTCCTCTGGGCCTCCTCCCBHTHGGACGTGCCCGGAACACCTCACCAGGGAGGCGTCCAGGAGGCATCCTTACCAGATG